ATCAATCAATCAATCAATCAATATATTTTATTAAGATGTTTCAACAACACATCTCCTGGTTCCGCAAACAAGCATAGCCAGAAGTAAATAACAAAACAATAAATATTACAGCAATAAAGAAGAAATATAATGCTATTTACAATAATATTATATCAAACATTATTTATGTCAATATTTAGTTTATATTTTAACATTTTTATGGTTATTTTTTTATCAAATTAACATTTATTTGTTTTCAGTTTTTTAAAAGAGATCACATAACATATATGATATTACAACATAATACGTAATAAAACATTTATATTTTGATATTCATTAAATCATAGAATATGTATTAATGTCCGTAGTATGGATGTTGCAAATTGGTTGCTTACAACAGCAGTATATCATAAAATGTTTCTGGTTCAGAGTAGGACTAATGTTCTGAATTTAAGTGCAGAGTCTTTAGTGTATACAGAACACTAGGTTTAGGGAGAACTGTCAAATTACGTCAATGAAATCCCAGATTTTTCCCACGAGAAGTGGGTATATAAAGGGGTCGGATTTGCTCCTCCGGGCGATTAGCCGAGGAGCTAACGCCAAAGCAACCCCTCCGAACAGCTGAGGAAGATCTCTATATCGTCATCGAAGACCTCTACCCCGTCCATCACTGCCTATTGCCATCCAAGGGAACTTTGATTGGAAACCAAAGGGAACTTCATTTGTAACTTCAGTGAACGATCCCAGTGCGTCCTACAAACGCCTTATACAAAGAGATCGCATCCTACGAGGTAACCCCTTGCCAGAATTTTGTCTCTCTCCAACACTTCCCTCTTAGAAAGGTCTCTCTCTCGATCTTTAGCTTTAGGTTAGGTTAGAATATAGGATAGATTTTTATTTTTATTATGCGTGTGTTATATTTATTGTCTTTGATATGTATAATCTCTTATTTCTTTATTAAATGTGTTAGTATTGTTCAACCCGTGTAGTTATCTGGACACCTTGTCACAACTCCACTACCCCTTCCACTCATTTACCAAAGCCATCCCTGACAACAAAGCCGGTAATTGGGGAGACGCGCACCGCTCTACCCCCTCGGTTCACACTATCATTGCTAAACACAGTCATGACATCGTCAGAGAGCTATTAGTAAAGAGCTAATGCTAAGCAAGACAACAGTGCACC